GATATGATTTTACACATCAAAATTAATCGCAGGTGTAGACAATATGCATAGAAATGAACACTAAATACATCTATCCCGGCCAGCAATCGAATCACCAATCTTCATGAGTGACGTAACTGGTATTTCCATCTATTTGCTTCTATTCCCACTATCCTAAAACGCTCAAGTGAATGTTGTCAAATTCGCGAGTGTGCGTATTTTCGTACAGTGGCGTAAACATTGCTACAATCAAAGACGCGCTGAACAGAAAGTCAATTCTGGGCTAGTACCATTGTCAAATTCTGGGGAGTACAGGACTATTTATATGAGAGACGTTACAATAAGGAACTAATACAATTGTTTGATTTGCATATCAAAATCCTTTATTGGAACAGAGCATGTTCTATATTTACCTAAAAACAAAGTTATTATGTCTAGACACACAACAGACTCGAAACAATAGAAACCGTCCGATCCGAGCGACCTGCGTTCTTGAAAATCGAGTCTTATCGCCCTTGCGTTTCCGAGCAAAAAAACGTTGAGGCCAAAAACGACCGATTTTCGCCCAATCTTCCATGAATTTTTCATAATTCAGCTAATTCAGTCCAGCGGTTAGATAGAGTATTTATTAGAGACGCCCAGAGAACCAAAATTTGGGACGTGAATCGCTCCGGCGACGAAAAATCTGCGAAAATAGCCAAGGGGATGAGGGACCGCATTTCAAAAACATATTTTATATATTATAGGGTATATAAATATAACAAATGCTTTTGTCATTATTGTGTTGAACATTCTGTGTCTTGATTTCCCAAGGTATTTACTGTAGAAATACTCATTTGTATACCTGCAATTACGCGAGCTGTGCAAATATTAAAATAGAAATGTATATTTATAATTATAAACAACCACAGACTACGGCCTAGCGCCGTGACACTAATTGGAAGAAGGTAATGGTTCATACTAGGGAAAGGTGAGACCTAGAGATACATGGTTCCACTTGTGTAATCGACCCAGGTGTATTACCTTTTATTATTGACTCTAATCGTATATTTGATCCCAAGGTAGATCTTTTTGTCAATAATGAATTCAGTTGTATTACCAGCAAAGTTGTTTATTGCATTTCATGTAATAAATTCGGGAAACTATATCATGGTTTTTCTGTGCGTCGACTAGGATTTCAGTTTTTATCCTCTTCACTTCATTTTTAATTCTAGGGGGCATAACATTACATATACGTCCATTTCTGATGTTTGTGTTGTCAACGGTAACGAGAATCAACTGAGACGCATGGAGCAGGAAACTATAGCCCTATTCTCAGTGTTTAAGAACATGTGTGAACAAGAACGATATCCCAAACGTCATTGTCACATCACTTCGAATGTTGTGAATATCAGTGAATACAAAGTGTGAATACAGAGCGCATTGGATTGTGGGAATATCAGTGTGTACCAACACGCGACGACCAACGCCATTTGAATTTCTTTGTTTCAAACAGTATTCGTTTACGTGTTCTCAACAGTATTAATTTACTACAAAAGGACAGTTTTTTTAGACAAATCTTGTCACATAATCAAAGTGGAACGCCCCCCCCCCACTATTTATATATGTGACATTTGTTTTGAGTACATGACAACTTTGCGTTAGTAATACGAAATTTTAAGTAGTCCCTAAAACAACATGTATTATAAGTTGTCCCAGCAACAATATTTATTATAAAGCTTTCTCAGGAAAAAATTTGAAATTCCAGAAACATAATAACGTTGTCCCATGACAAAACATTCCATTAGTAGGTATAACTAAAGATGTCACAGGAATCACATGTATTATAAAGTTGGCACAGCAATAGCACTGAAGTTGTCCCTAGACAAACATATAGTATAAAGTCAGACTACTATGAAATTGTCCCAGGAACAAGATTTGTTAAAATTGTCCTAGGATCGGGGACCTTATGATCGATATTGAAAATTTCTATTTCAGTAATGTCAAGAACTTCTTAAAAGTGCGAAATACACACAATTTGTTATTTGCATAATAACAAATAATCTCACAAAACCATAGTGATTGTGAACAAGGTGCTAAAAGCGCCCATGCAATGCGACGCTTGCATTCATCTGCTTGGGAGACATGCACTGCAAGATACTAAAGAAAACGCGTTAACATTGTATCATTTGAACGACTTCACTGTTCAAAGAGGGGACATAATATTTGTTCTGATTGTGCCACAGACCATGGAGTATGATTGTCTACGTTGTTTCATGTTTAATATTATAATTGATTTGAGTAGATTTAATATGAGATTTTATATCAATATATCTTTTTAATTATACAATTGGATCGCTACATCATTTAATTCTTAGCTTCAGTTGGTCGTTATTTTTTCCATGATACGACTTCATTTCAATGCTGTATGTCATCACTAATTCGCCACAACAGCTTACTCTGTAATAGATATAATTCATATAATCAGAAATCAAGCTAATAATATGTGAACACATGCTAGTCTATATTTGATGTCATACATACCTAGATCTTTATTATTGCTTTGCCAATATTAGCACCAGAGAACAAACCAATGAACTTGCTGGGTGTGTGTTCAAATCCCACAGTAATGTCTTCTTTGTATTTCAGTTTTCCCTTAAAGTTAAATAAATTGATGTATAATATCATTATTATATCATTATTGTATTACGTATTGCACCATGTTATAATATAAAGTCATCATTATAATATATATATATATTGATTTTATGTTATGATTTAATAACATCATTGTAATATTTAAATAATAACACGTGTATGTGAGGTTAATATCACGATTTGTTGCCTGCCCAAGAAATGGTGGTCATAACCATAATATTGATGATGCCAGAACCGAAGGCGAGGACATCATCAATATTATGGTCATGATCAACAGCCCGAGGGCAGACAACAAATCGTGATATTTCCCGAATGAACATGTGTTATTATTTAAATATTACAATGATGTCATTAAATCATAACACAAAATCAATTGCACCACGAACATAAAATTCAATCACATCAAACATACATCCACCATGCACAATCACATCATCACCATGCACAATCACATCATCACCATGCACAATCACATCATCACCATGCACAATCACATCATCACCATGTACAATCACATCATCACCATGCACAATCACATCATCACCATGTACAATCACATCATCACCATGCACAATCACATCATCACCATGCACAATCACATCATCACCATGTACAATCACATCATCACCATGCACAATCACATCATCACCATGCACAATCACATCATCACCATGCACAATCACATCATCACCATGCACAATCACATATTACTTAATAGCATACATACATTGTTCGCTGAAAAAAACTGCGAAATACACTCAGTAAATGTTATTTTCAGCCTCGGATATTCTTTTTAGTAACCATGTTTAAGTAGCACGAATCACACAATTGATCGTGTATAACATTTTTGAAATGAGTTGAGAAGTTGAGTACTTACTCATTTATGTTACCAGACCACTTTATTTTCATTCTAGTTATTTATTTTAAGTGATAGGGCCATGAACTAGACTAGTTCTGCTGAACTATTTTCATGGTCCACACCAGAATTATGCCAATCGTGTGCATATTACCTTGTATATTAATTTTCCCCTTTTTTATATCTCAATAATTGTATACATAATTTTCTGGTGAAATCAATCAATCCATCCATCCATCCATCAATCAATCAATCAATCAATCAATCAATCAATCAATCAAACTATTTGACCACTCGCCAGATAAAAATGTCGGCCGTGAAAGTGATTGAAATTCCTCACGAACGTACCACACCTTCTATTCACAAGTCATATAGTACACAACTTAGAGCGTTTTCGGTTAGCATCGGCGTGGCAAGCGTAAAATTCTCACAGCGTAGAACGCGCTGCTGCGACGTTTTAGTGGCGGCCGTACATGTTTGCTTCATATAAAGAATACCCTAAACATCAAAACAGAGTGTTTTACTTAATATCGATTTCGGCACGCTGGCTGTCTATTTCGGATGGCTAAAATTCCTAAAAATCTTTGAAAGAAACATCGAACAGCGGCCGGGACAGCACCACTGCAGCGAACGACAATTTGTTATGCGCAGTAGTTTCAGTGACGTCATCCACGTGATATACTTAAGCAATAACCCCCGCCAAAGGCGGGTATACCACGAGATATTGCACAATTCACAACATATATGCACGAGCCGCAGGCGAGTGCATATATGGAGTGAATTGTGCAATATCAAGTGGTACACCCAACTTCGGTGGGGGTTATTGCTATTATATTATACCATTATATTGACAATTCGATAAAACTTGTAAAAAATCAGTTTACTTTCATCTACTAAAAGTACCGCTGTACCGCTGAACCAAGTACCGCTGAACGTCAAATATCCACAGTTACAAGTAGTATGATGAGTCACAAAACCGGTTTATTTCACAACTGTACTTTCAATGGGCAAATTACAGTCCAAATTGTACAAAAACCGGAATGAAAACGTGGAAAATCCGTTGTTTAAATGATCCAAACTGTACACGACCCTGTATTTCAAATCGCGTTGTGCGTCAGTAAAAGGTCAGAAAGGCCATCCTTTGTTATGCTAATTTGTGTGTTTACGCTGCTCTATTCAACGTGGGTATGTTTCTTTTTCATGTGGAATAAAAATTAGTTTGTATTCAATTTGAACTGTGTTGCGCATGTAATTTTTGTATGCATTCAGCGTACAACTACATACTATT